GTACATCCTGCGTGAAGCTACCACAGACAGTATGAGCATAGAAGCGGAACAGGATGATGTGATAGAGGAGGATGAAGAAGATTCGGTATGGTCGGGAGACGATGAAGATGATGGAAGCTAGCCCAAATGCAGGAGGGTCATATCGGTTCGGAGATGTAGAAGTGACTGAGGAAACGGTTCGTAAGAGTTTCAAAAATTCCCTTTTATCAGTCACTCATATAGGTGTCGAAAGCCATCGCCTTTTTTCGCTCAACACAGACAGGCTCTCGCCTTTGAAATGCATGCAAAAGAATTTTCGCTTTCTCAAGGACCACAACCACTTGCAAAAGTTGAAAAAAGTTGAGAAGGGGGTAAGTTTTTTCTATTATGCTGTTCAATAAGCTCGTAACTTGTCATGTCATCATAACGCATTTTTTGAGTTTTCCGCGCAAAAAGCTATATTCTTATCAGCAAATTATGATATTAATGGCAAAGCTGATGCCCTTTATTTTTCGTTTTTAATTTTGAGGGCGATTACTTACCACTTCGAAAATGTTTTTCTCTGATATGAATGGTGCGAATGGCTGCTCATCTCACTGTGTATGTTCTCCGGTACGAGTTCCAATCAAAGTGCAAAAATACTACAGATTTTGGAAAAGTTTGTTTTATCTTGTTACGCGTCTCTTGAAAAGAAATTAATCATCTCTGAATTGCACTTTCTTGGAAATTTTGATTCTTTTACTTACGTAATCTCTATTTTATCGCTTACAACGAACATGGGAAAATATTTTTTCCTGACACCCATGCAAGAAGGAGAAATGTGGGCATTTTGCCCGTTTTCACGTTTTGTAGACTTCTATCTTCCTGTGCATCAAAAAACTTTAAATTGTTTGGAAACTTCGTCATGAAATGGCAGGAATGTCTGGATAAATCATAGTTCCAGACAAGTGAAGATCCTAGAATTTTCGTTTAACAAATAAGCCTTCAAATTCTTTCGAATAGAAGTGAGTGTGCCACGCACAACGGATATTTTTAGGATGCTCGCGGGCTTATAAAACCAAAACTTCCAACGGTTTTCGGCGGTGGCGCCTGCTTTCTTGGACAGCCACTAACGGAAAGCGTTGGCTACATCAGCAAGAGATGGCAAGATTAACAAGCTACCCGTGGAACAGCATAGTGATGGCAGTTTTGTAAAACCAGGATGTCTCTTATTATTAGGTGATCTTGCGGCG